AACCGACTATGCGTTAGGTTTGGTGACGTGCACTTGCATACGAGGACGCCAGCTGTAGCCCCTGTCCATGTTAAAATGGCAACTACCACTCGCTCGTGGTTGTACATCTTTGAATACTTTTCTTGTGTTAAAATCTGAAGAAATAGGGCAATTGCAATATTTGAAACAATGACTTGGGGCCAAACTTTAATTAAAATTTGCTTCATGTTTCGTTTCTCGTGGCATAATTTGGCATGAAAGGCATAACATGAAAACAATGTAAGGGTGACAATCAGAAACACAGCTGATGCATGTTTCAAGCCATGAACCCATTCACCGAGCATATTTGAAATAATTGAGAAAAAGTTAAGAATACTACCTTGACTTTTGAGGCAGACAAAGCTGAAAACCAATGATGTTCCTGCCCTACATCCATATCCTAACACAAACCCTATCACCAACCCGCAACAAAGAACATGAAGTTGGAATTCCAATAACAAGTCTGGGTTGTCTATTCTCTGTTGCATATTGCTGTCAGCGTATAGAAATTCGATACAGGCATATCTGTAAAATATACTGAGAGCTACACCTTCGCCATATCTGATACCCATGGGTAGGTTGCCAGAAAACCAAAGGGTAGAGAAGAGGCACCCCATGATTTTCAAAGAACATAACCCAACAGGAGCGAAAGCAAAAGCAACACATATGCATAGCAATCCAAATACAAGTTTGACATGTTGATCAAATGATGATCCGTGATCAACTGCTAGAGAAGCAGAATTATCAGTCATTTGCACTGTAAGGTAACTAGCTGCATATTGCTGTTCATTTTCAGGGTCCTTAACATCTTCCCAAGTGTCCGTTACGGCTGCAGTTTCCACGTGGTGCTTTTCATTTCCTCGAGTACTGTTGTGACTTTTTACGAAATCCTTTCCTCTGAAATAGCGTTGCAAGGATGTCTTTCCCACACCAGAATCTCCCAGGAGTAATATTTTACAAGTTTCCAAATCTATTTGCCCCATTTGCAAGTTTTTTTCATATTTGTGAAGCAGATCAACACTTGTCCCAATGATCCTCCTGCTTAACGTCCCAGTATTTGCTCCCCATGGTCTGAACATGTCGACTTGCTGTACCTCATTTTCGTCTTCCATTTTGGTGTTAATCAATTATTGGAGCATAGATTCACATGACTACGGAATTGCGAAGCTGTCAAACGTGAACAAAACGATTGATATGAGGTGAGTTTTTGCATTATGTTTAGATTAAAGACATAAATCTCTCCCGGAGGGTCGTCGTAGAATCGAGATTTTCCCATATCAACGATGGCCATTTGTTAAAGTTTTAAAGGTATGATCCGTTGGGTTGTTTTAAGCAGTCCGACAAATTGCCAAGGCTTTACATAGTTGTCAAATACATCAAATTTTGAGATAAGTTATAAAGAATTATAGTCTTAAATGGTTCCGTTTAATAATTACTTACAGTTCTTACCACACCACAAGACGTGTCTGTTTCAGCAACGGGTTTAGCTATCCTAATCTGAATGCAAAGATGCATTACTGACCTCAACAGATTGTTAAAATGCCGACATGTCCTCGAAAATGTCAATGAAGACGCGGGCAAAGAGAAAATGAACGTTTTTAATGGCTGTGATGTTTTGGCAATAGATCTCATTATTCAGGCATCCTTAAGGCTAGATCAATGTCTGAAAAAAAATCAATTTTTTGTGCTAATGCTACCTGTGCAAATATCGATTTGCTTCACAACACTGAAAATGAGTCGTGCAAACATTTTTTTTCATACTGCCACAAAAAGCTGTAGCGCACCAAAAAGTGTTTGGTTGATAGCCCCCCTGGCGAGAAATGACTGATCGATCGACTGATCGATCACCACCGGACTGGTGTAGGAAACGGTTTTCATTTCGTTTTTTTTTGTCCCTGCTTGGCAGCCTCTCGACAGTAGGACTGAACTCGATCATTGAAGTCCCAACATATTGTAGCTCCAATTTATTTTTTGCTTCTTCTTCCTCTTTTAATCCTTAAAATCAATGTTTAATTTTATCTTATTCATTCACATATACTAATTATATTTTTAGATAAACTATACACATATTTATATTAACTATACCCATAATTGTATATTAACTATACACTAATAAAGTTATGACAAAAAATCTGCACAACATAGATACTGATGAAACCGGTCACATATACTGATCATCGTGTCTTTGCAAGTCGACACATACCAGGTGTAACAAGAATGGTAGTATAAAAACTGGATGTCTGGGGTCCCATATGATTAGTGTGGTTGAGGGTTTGGCGTATCAGTAGTAGTATATGTGACATGTATAGTAATGGAGGTCGGACTCTGGTTCCTAACGGAATCCTTTTCTTGTCACATACCTCTAACAGTCAGCAATGTGTTAGTTGTGCTAAATGGATGTGTTCATCATAACCTCCAGGAAGAGACTTTTCATCAGGTTAAATTGATTTAAACATAACTACTTATTTAAGAGGCATTATAATAACAACACAAATCATTTCAAAAAGAAACCGTCTTATATTGTTTCAGACAATTACACACCCTCGCGCACGTGCACTCACATATTTACAATCAAATATCGTTAGGACCAAGCAAGGTCAACCCACAGAGCGTTTCATCTCATTTACATCAAAACATAGAGAAATGATATGAGAAAGCAAGTATTCAGTAGTTAACTCTGACATAAATTCTATATATAAGACAAGACTGCCTGATGTTATCAGTAATATCAGTAGACGCTGATCGTAACGCTAATATACACCTTGAAAATATTGAAAATTATCAGGTTACAGGTTTGGTGTCATCTCATAAATCTTTTATGTTCAAAAATAAATGTCAAGCTATCTAAAAATGTGAACTGAAAGACAGATGCATTTGTCTTTATTCCAAAAAGCATCTTTGCATCAGATATTGATGTGGCGCTATATTGACACAAGCTAGTGAAGTCGGATAATACTCTGAAATCAATACTTGAATATTCCTAAATTTTAACAAAGCATATACTGTATATATCGCTCTGCCTCGTTAATGAGGCTAAAACTGTAAAAGCCATTGTATAAACGTGTTATTTGTACCCTTCTACATGCCGCCTTCTCCTGCCATATTTTTGATAGAGCGGTAGACCCATTTTGAAAACGAATCTACGTCTAATGTTTGGGAAAATCATGGCCGTTTGAGCCAGTGGCTGCCTGGCTGTACAGGTAGAGACTTCCAGCAACCCTCTAAACACCATTTTTGCAATTTCATCACTGTTTTCATAGTTTAAATAAAATCATTTGATTGTCTAATGGAATTCGAAATCGGTCAAAAAATAAAATGTGGTTCTCAGAGCACCACTTTTATTTTCATTTCCAATGTACATCTGTGTGTCTACCTTTAAACGGTGTTACTTTGATTGGTGCCCACATATGTTTACATTAATATTAGGGAAAATGGAATTTCTATTCCTTTTTACCACTATGATCGTAAGGGTATATATAATACTACGAAATACTGAAATGAATTATACACTGTCATATAAACATGATCTACATAACTATAACAGTTAACACACAAATATATGGATTTTTGCATAAATCTGAAAACTTTTTCTCAAAAAAGTGATCTATCACACACACTGTAAATATAGTACACTGGTATGGTGAAATATTATGAAGCATCTTCTTGACTTTGACTAACTGCTAGATGTGAATCCTGGCATCCTTCAGGTCTTAGGGCACCACGCATATACTGCACTGGTATCTCATGTACATCCTCTGGTTTCACTGCAAGAAGAGCCGCCAGATCGTAACGGTCCCGGTCAGCAAACCACTTTCGCAGGTGCCTCACAGGTTCCTTATCCAATGGGCAGTTCAATACCTTATGTAATAATGCACTGCATTTATCTGATGATGTTTGTCGGCGATTGACTTCTTCCATGTCTGATTCACTAATGATACTCTCTGAATAAAGATAATCTAGCAGTTTATTAATTTCCAATCCAGCATTTGCCATGGAATGCAAATTTTTGCGAAGAGTTTGGTATTCAGCCTCCCGCCTCCTTGCTTCCTGAAAAATAAATACACACGGTACTTACAAAAATATAGCCTAAAACTGGCTTTATATTAACAAAGACCTGCAAAATCTATATTCTGATAATATGCATTTTACATTTCTACCGTTTATTTAATGTCATAAAAAGGCTCATTCAAATTAGAATTAAAGTACTCTTTAGGCATCTTTCAAACTTCCGGCCAATACGCTAAATGGGTGGAGTTAAACTTACTTTAACTTCATCAATTAAGCCCTTTATTTCAGATGTTTTCACTGTTTCCTTCACTGTCTCTCCAACCTTCCTCAGCAACGGCCCTCCATACTTCTGGGTTATTCAAAATGCCCTCTAAGTTGTCTTTAACCTCCAAAGGCATATACCTATGTAAAACGGTACGCGGCGCAGAAGCCACCAATTTCTGATCTCCACTCTGTTGTAGAATGTTTTGAGAGATATAATATGTATTTGTATTTATAATAGATTCTGAAAACTCTGGGGCTGGATGACCTTGTGTCTGGTGGGACACCAAGGGGTTCATAAATGACTGTTGCTGCGAAGGCACTGATGTCACTGGGGCTGGGAGACCCTGCTGTGTCTGGTGGGACACCAAGGGGTTCATAACCAACTGTTGCTGCGAAGGCACTGATGTCACTGGGGCTGGGAGACCCTGCTGTGTCTGGTGGGACACCAAGGGGTTCATAACCAACTGCTGCTGCGAAGGCACTGATGTCTCTGGGGCTGGGAGACCCTGCTGTGTCTGNATAACTTCTACAATAATGGCCCGATCATGCTGATTTTCGAACTTGACCTGCGTTTTATGAATATTCATCAGCTCTGTAAATATAAAGCCAAAAAGTAAAACTGCCCTCCACTTATCGTGTTTACAAGGAAAGTGCACGGCGCCGGCATCGGCATCGGCATCGGCATCGCCATCGCCATCGGCGACGACAGAGGACAAGATATCTTTAGGCTCGAGGTCTTCTTCAATTTTTGTCCAATTTTCTCTTAGCTTCTCGAATTGTCTTTCAGTTTCCTGGGGCTTCTAAAATGAGATTTTCATTGTAATGACAAAAGGACTCTGTGTCAGCAGACCAACATGTTTTGTAAAGCAATCACCTCATCTTTTTGTTAAAATTTTCACTCACTACTGTTTGTTATCAAAATGTGCTGCTTGTGGGATCGACAAAAATACAAATCATATTAATGTAATTGAATTGTAAACCATAATTGCTTACCTTGCCAAAGTGCAGGTAGATTTTCATCTTTAAGGTTGCATCACAGTTACAAACGGCAGGTGTTCCCTTAGGAATTTCATCAAATAACTCGAACCCAGATTTGCTGTTTCCCAGATGGCACATGTGAACGTGACCCTGCAGATAAAACAACAGTAATACACATCCTCCTATATCACTCTATCTATTGTTATCCTAATCTAATCAGCATTAGGAAAAGAGGCGATTGAATGTTAAACTATACCTCTGTCAATAACACTAATTTTTTCAAAGGCAAACATTTGATTGTACATTTAAAATATGAGTTGTTTCCTCAATTATAGACCATGAAATCAAAACATAAGTAACAGGACTCGCTCACCTTTTCGTGCCAGTTGCAAGTGTGTACGCCTTGTATCTGACAGACTAGTCCCACAGAATATTTCTGCCCAGGGAAAGATGTATTGCAAATATAATTCAATTGTTTGTGAAGGTTAGCGAAGACCTCGTAAGTTTGTTGTTCTATGGCACCTGCTGGTAAATAAGGGTCTGCACCTGTAGTAAACAAAATCACGTTTTGTGTAATAATGGATTTCAACTCAAGTTTGTACTTGATTCCTGTGGATGGCTCTGTAAAGACGGCAAAATTAGAGAACGCAGTTTGCCGAAAGTTTTTTCCTTGAAATATTTGTCTCCGCTCATTTTTAACACAGTAGATGTAAGCCTCCAGAAAATTGGCTTTGGTTCAAATTCTCCAAAGTCCAAACCAAATGCAATTTCTTGACCTGGCGATAAATTCCAGAGTTTATGTTTGTCTTCTTGACTAGCACTTTGCAACTGAAATGGCACGAGATAGTACGGGCTGCAAGGGACCTTAACGATTAAGTGACTTTCTTCAAGAAGTTTACCACAAATGTCTTTTAAATGTTTTGTTTCTTCAAATGCCAGTGATTGGCACTCAGAAAGGCTCTCAATTCTATGGTTTAATGCTTGATCCATAGTACTTTCACTTAAGATGCCTATCTTCTTTTCTTTTCTCTCTATCATCTTTAGAATTTCCAAAAACAAGCCTACAAACCATGACTGCCCATGACGCAGGACGACGAACCCTGTTTGACAGTCGCCACCATCACTGTCGCAACAATGAATATCCCCCCTGTCGTTGAAGTATTTGACAAATTTTTTAAAGTCATTATCGTCTTTAACGACTCCTTTCTCAATGACAGCATTTTTCAGTTTTGAGATCTTTATTATTGGAGATAACTCTGGCATGATTTTCGAAAACTTCAGCCATTTGATTTCGGTTTTTTGTCTCCTTAAAACTGCGATTCCCGCCACTTGCTTTCTGAGATGCTTTCCCCCTACGTCCCTTTTGCACTGTCCCGAATTTTCTACTTCAAATATCAGGGAGTCCTTATTCCAGGAAATATATTTGTCGATATCCTCTTGTTCAAAAGAATTTGTCAATTCCTTTGAAATCTGGTATCTGACCTCCTTATCCACGCTGTCTCTGTGTGTCCCAACAATGAAGATAGGCCTATGAATTTTGTAATCTTCATCGGTATGGGCCAACACGAAGTTTAACCAATAGCGAAGCTTTTTGAATTGTACGCATAATTCGTTGCTGTCTTTAAGTCTTTTAGCTTCTTTAAAGTTAAATACAATGATGTATACAGCGTCCTTTGGTATGAATAAATGATGGAAATAATGATATTCTTCTTGTCCTCCACAGTCAATTAACACAAACTTAATACGCATACCTGAAACTCCATTCTCATATTTTGATTTTGCCAGTCTAATTTTGGTTAAATCAATACCCGTTGCCATTGCTTGTTTCACCTGCCAAAAGACCCAAATCTCGTATGCAAGAACAATTCCAACAGACAACACCTGATCTAAAATAAATTCTCCAGGAGGAATAGCGACCGCCCAGTTCATAAAATAGACCATTGTGACACCTAGAATAAAGCCCAGTGCCCTTCGTATATAGAAAGGCAAATCGTACACTTTTGCCAGAGGCCGTCCAATGACCATTATTGCCGTGTATTCTAGCATAGCACTGCTACAACAAACCACGAGGATAACCATATAATGATGAAACTTCTTTTCCATATACCCTAAGATGAGACTACAGAAGAAATAAGAACACAAGATTACTGCCATCATGTAAACGGACAGCCAAATATAAAACCATC